TACTTTATGTAACTTTCCAAATTTAGAACTTCGCCAGCCTTTCGCCAGGCTCGCAGCCCTTTTATGGAATGGGTCCTCGCGGCTTACACTGCCCCACACATCCTCTTCGCGAGATTCTCACGGGATGCACGTGCGATTATTATTTGGATGAGGTGAAGGCATGAACCCCTCTGCTCAGAAAGGAACTCCACTCCACCCGCTCGCGAGCACGCAAAAAAGGACCCCCCACCTCACCCCACCTCACCTCACCTCACCTCTCCTTTGAAAGCGCGTCTTCCCATCCCATCCCATCCACCATAATGAGGCCAGCATTTTGGCGGCGAGATGAGCACGAGGAAGGAAAACAGCACGCAGGTAAGTCCCTTGATCAGGGTACAGAATCTAGGATTGACTGGACCAAGGCCTCTCGCAGTCAAATGCCGCATTCACACGACATGCCCGTGCAGTTATCAGCGATAAGCTTCACCTGGGCGTGTCTCGTCTCAATTCGCCCTTCCTTCGCTCCATGGCCTTATCTCGCAGAAATACGTGCCAATAAGCCCGTCTTCTGTATTGCATTTACCCGCTGCGTGCACTCGAATTGCGGAGATTCCCATTCTCGTTCGATCTGTGCGGCGATCGAAAACTCCCGGACACTTCCCAGGCTCGCTCGTGGCCGATATTACCTGCGACCGCGCCGCCCTCATTGCTATTAGCAGGGTCTTTGAGTTGTAGTGCCGCTGTTTGCATACGAATCGCGCCATGATTCGAACCGTTGAACCACGGAGAGCCAACCTGCAGTCTGTGCTTGCGCTTTTAGTACTAGCCGTTCTCCTCAGAGGCGTGTCAGAAGCCAAGGCTGGTAGTGGTAGTCGTAATACGAACTTGACTCCTCGTACGCTCGTCCAGCCTCCTCGTAGTACAGTTCGTTCGTCCCGTGTGTTGCGGCAGCACCTGCGGTCTCAAGGATTAGTGCCGCTTCGCGCGCACCCGCCAGCTCCTCCTGCGAATCCCACCCCTTCACTAGCGAGGCGCCGAACATCCGCGGGGCTGCCGCCTGCTCCGCCTCTCCGGCGGCCATCATGGGCACCGCCGGTGGGAGCCGTGGGACATCGTGATCCGAATGCCGGGGCTCGCCGGCCCGGAATCGCGCCGATCAACACGTGGTGCGTTCATGTTATTGCGCCGGTCTAAGCTATAAAGAAGGGAATGCTAGCAGAAGCAGTAACGCCGCCTTCCACTGGAATTTTTTGTTCCATTTCAAATAGGAACGGTAACCGTCTAATGCGGCATTACGCGCTCGCCCATCTCAGGGAATTTCAAGGCGGCACGGCGACGACGGGCCGCCGCGCGACAATCCTGGGGACCCCGGGGCCCATCGGGATCTACCCGCGATGGGGGGCTGGGTGTTGGAACAAGTGCGGCGTGTTGAATCGGCCGATCCGCGTGTTCGTGATGTGGTACGGCGTGTTCTCCAACGCTCAGAAGCAGACGGTCCGCTCCTTCGTCGCATCGCTCAGCCCCAACGCTGACTCCGCCGTGACTGGTAGGCCGTCCCATGAGGATTCGCATTGAGATCGCGCGTTGCCAAATCATCGCCGTGGAATGCGCGGGTCACTTTGTACCCATACTACGGAACGACGAGCCCTCGGAAAATGCTCGCCGAAACCCTTCAAGCATAAGTGTGTTCTACACTTGAAGTTCGTCCATCGGTATACCTATCTTCCATCTCCCCTCTATGTCCGCATTCGCTACACCCTCAAATCATTCCGCCTAAACTCTCTTCCAGCGTTACTTATTAGAACAATTTCGCTTTTATTGGAACACAAACAATTTCTTTAGTTTAAGTGGCACGTCAGCTCATAATAACGACAAGGTGTTATGTCTTTTTTAAGACTTATTTGTGGTGTATCCTATTCATGCTATTTGTTTGTTTCAGTTCCATTGTGGTGGAACATCAACCGGCTCTACTACGACCAGGAAGGCAACCACATATCGCAATCCGTGACGTGGGGCGGCGAGGTGGAGGATAGGGCGTACAGCAAGGGCAAGACGCTGCTTTCAAGCCATGTAGAGAGTCTCCTTGGGTCGGCCATTAGCAGCCAAAAACTGCCCCACGACCCTAGTGCCGTCTACTTCCTCCTCTCGGACGAGTTTGTCACACAGGTGTGCTGTGAGGCAATCCCACAGGATGTGGTGTGCATCTCGCCGATGCAGCATGTGTTATGGTGCATCTGTTTCTTGGAAGTCATGTTACTGTGATCCTCACTTCCTGCATGTATGTCAATGCTGCTTTCGCAGAAATGGGGCAACCAGAGCACGTCTCAGAAGTTCTGCACGGACTTCTGTGGGTGGCACTACTACGCGTGGGCTGACATGTACGGCGACTACATCTACTCCTGGGTCGGCAAGGCAAACCTGCTCGTAAGTCGTGAGCGGTAGCCTATCTATCACCACACTTCAGCCACAGCAACATATCTTGCTTCCTGGACAAACCTAACCCAAACCCTCACCTGCTCATTTCTTGTCTCGCATGCGCAGTGCCCCTCGTCCTGCATTCCCAGTGACATCCGCAACAACACCTCTTTGGCCCCCACGGGCGACTCAGGCATGGATGGCCTCGTGTCTGTCTTCGCCCACGAGTTTGCTGAAGCCACCTCCAGCCCCTTCATCTCCACGTGGTTCGACGGAGAAGGCTATGAGAACGCCGACAAGTGCGCCTGGAAGTGAGCAGCCCTTACCACCCTGCCACCTGATCATACCTTGTATAGTGGTCGCTTTTACTCAACCGAGCACCAATGGCGACACTTCCAATCTCCACCACATTTCCAACAATGGTGCCGTTCCTCTCCTCCTGCCATTATTTTCTTTCCACCTGACAGGTTTGCGCCTCTTATCCCTGAAGCTTCTGGCATCAAGTACAACCTGGTGGGGGTCAATGGCTCCAAATTCCTCATCCAGCAAAACTGGGATCTTGTATCTGGTTCATGTGCGCTAACCATCCCATACGCACCATCCCCACCACCACCTAGACCCCCATCACCTCCTCCACCTCCTAGCCCTCCCCCGCCTCCCTCACCTCCCCCTTCCCCTCCGCCCTCACCACCTCCCCCATCTCCTCCCCCTTCCCCTCCACCCTCCCCACCCCCACCATCTCCTCCTCCTTCACCCCCTCCTCCACCTCGCCCCCCGCCCCCTCCTCCAAAACGAGCACCCCCACCGCCAAAGAAACCTCAAAAAAACGGCTTTGGTGACTTAATAAACAGAATATTCAAGCCAGGAGGGTAACCTCGTTTTATGTATCTCTCTTAGTTTAGGCATGTACTATGTATACAAACCTGCAAGGCTTGTAACAAGAAGTTCCCTATCAATTACAAATCGTGTGCCAAAACTTATCCAGAGCAAACCGTCGTACTGTACTACATCAGCAAAAAATACACAAATTTTCAAGCAAAGCAAGCAACCAGCCCATTCGTTTGTTGACCACGTCGTCGTACAAGGAGGATAACGACGCTGTGCGAAAAAGTTTGCGACTTGTGATGCTCGTCTTGGCTTTTGCGAAGTGGTGTTTTACAGTCGCGTTGACTAAGGGTGTGTTTCTAGCCCGTTTCAGACATCAGGTCAAAGCTTCGGAAGACACAAAGTGACTCGGTTTGTGTCTTTCGAACCTAAATTTGCCACCATTCCGTTACCTTTGGGTCTTCCCAACCTCAACTTCGTGTCTGGCTTCGTGTCTGACACGGGATAGAAACGCGCCCTAACGAAGGCTCGTCGTCTTGCCGAAGTTGATGAGACACTGTTGCAGTGCTGCTTATCGACGACGTCTGACTGTTACCTCAAGGGAGTACTGTAGTGTAGTTGGGAAGTTGTAAATTGGTCGTCCGTCGCGAACCTTGCGAAGTCCGAACGAACATAGCACGAGTCGCTGGCATGTTACACGCCCGCCCCAATGGCAGCATTTTGGCGGCTTGAAAGGCAAGCACGAAAACGCCACGCAGGGAAGCAGTCACTCAGTGCAACATGCATTTGCGCAAGAGGTGGTTGTGCTACCCTGAACGAAAAAGGTGGACTTTCCGCACCAGCACCAACCAGACACCAGAGCATATGTGAGGTGAGAGGGCTAGTCCAGTCATGCTTTTTCTTCAGGGTTTCTTTAGAATGTTCATATCGGTGGAGTGATGTCGCAACGCTCTTTTACAGTAGAAATGGCGCATTCACACAGATACGCAGTTATCAGCGATAACTTTCATCATAGCGTGTCTGGCCTGGACTCAATGCACCTTCTAGTCGCTCCATGGCCTCCTTTCCCAGAACCACGTGCCAATAAGCTCGTCTGCTAGGTTGTAATAACCCACTGCATGCTGCTAAAGTTACGGGAATTCGCTCTCGTGTATTCATCCGTGCGGCGATTTTCGTGAGTCACGGACACTTCCCAGCTTCTCGTGGCGTTAAGTCTTCACGGACAGTGGCCTACTGCTAGTAGCAGCAATGGGATCAAACTTCAAGTTGCAATGCCGTTCTTTGCGTGCAAATCCCGCCATGAGTCAAAATGATAAACCACGGAGAGCCAGCCCGCAGTGTGTATTTCCGCTTCCAATACTCCTAACAATTCTCCTCAGCGGAGTTTTAGAAGTCAAGGCTGGTAGTCTTCGTAATAGTAACTTGATTCCTCGTACGTTCGTCCAGCCTCCTAGCACATTTCGTTCGTCCGGACTGTTGCGACAGCACCTGGGGTCAATCCAAGGATCAGCACCGCCGGTGGAAGCCGGCCGCGTGGGACATTATGATCCGAATGCCGGGGCTCGCCGGCCCAGAATCGCGCCAATCGCCACATGGTGCGTCCTTGTACTGACTGCGGCGGTCTGAGCTACTATAATAACGGAATGCTACAAGGTTGCGAAAAACGAATACGCACCGTTTCTTTGGCTTCTGTAACCGTCTCTCCAGCCCTGGTGCACGCGTTTGCCCACCTCCGGGAAGGTCAAGGCGGCGCGGCGACGATGGGCCGCCGCGCGACGATCATGGGTACCGCAGAGCCCATCGGGATCTCCCCGCATTGGGGGCCGGCGTGGTGCGAGAACAGGTGCGGCGTGCTGCATCGGCCGATCCGCGTGTTCGTGATGTGGTACGGCGTGTTCTCCAACGCTCAGAAGCAGACGGTTCGCTCCTTCGTCGCATCGCTCAGCCCCAACGCTGACTCCGCCGTCACCGGTAGGCCGTCCCATGAGGATTCGCAGAGAAACCACGAGCCTAGGAAAATGTTTGGCCAAACCCCTAATGCATACGTATGTGTGTTAGGCTTTATACATTTGTATCATCAATGTACCTATCTTCCATCAACCCCCTCTGTCTCCACCGCTACTCATTCGTCCTAAACTCTCATACAGTATAGGTTCTCATGAATAGTAGCTACACATCCATTTTTGGGGGGAAGTTCGCGTAGCATGTGTCAGCCAAGGTGTTCTGTCTTTCTATAAACTTATCGGTGGCGTATCCCATTCATTTTACTTGGTTGTTTCAGTTCCATTGTGGTGGAACATCAACCGGCTCTACTACGACCAGGATGGCAACCACATATCGCAATCCGTGACGTGGGGCGGCGAGGTGGAGGACAGGGCGTACAGCAAAGGCAAGACGCTTCTCACAGGCGATGTAGAGGACCTGCTTGGGTCGGCCATCAGCAGCCAACAACTGCCGTACGACCCTCGTGCCGTCTACTTCCTCCTCTCGGACGCGTTTGTCACACAGGTGTGGTGTGTGATGCTGCACTGTTAGATGCGGCATGTGGGGTGGTGCTGTGTCAAAGGACGTCACATGAATGTGTTCCTTGCAAAACATGTGTGGCTGGACCGCATTGCCTGTAACTATATCCTCGTTTGCCACGTGTATCTCTCTGCTGCTTCTGCAGAAATGGGGCGACAAGAGCACGTCCTATCAATTCTGCAGAAATTTCTGTGGGTGGCACCACTACTCACGGGCCGACAATTATGGCGAGTACATCTACTCATGGGCCGGCAAGGCAGACCTGATCGTGAGTGAAGCCTATCGTGCACGACACGTCAACCACGCCAGCATACCGTACCTTCTTTTGCGACCTATTCTCACCTAACCACTCACCTACTCAATTTCTGTGGGTGGCACCACTACTCACAGGCCGCATTGCCTGTGAAATTTCTTGCCTGTGCAGTGCCCCTTCGCCTGCATTCCTAAAGACATTCGCGACGACGCGTCCTTCGCCCCCACGGGCGATCCCGGCATGGATGGCCTCGTGTCTGTCTTCGCCCACGAGTTTGCAGAAGCCACCTCCAGCCCCTTCATCTCCACGTGGTTCGACGGGGACGGCTATGAGAACGCCGACAAGTGCGCCTGGAAGTGAGCAGTCCTTGCCTTACAACTCTCCCACCTGCTCATACCTTGTACCTTTCTGCCGAACCACTGAGAGTATCACTTCCACCCTCCACCACGCTTCCAGTAATGATACCCTCCTCCTTCCCCCCACTCACCATTCTTCCCTCTCTTGCCCTATTCCTTTCCCACCTATCAGGTTCACCCCCCTTAGCTCTGACGCCTCTGGCATCAAGTACAACCTGGTGGGAGTAGACGGCACCAAATTCCTCATCCAGCAAAACTGGAACCTGGTTTCTGGGTCATGTGCACTAACCGCCCCGTACGCACCTCCCGCACCTCCTAGCCCTCCCCTACCTCCCTCCCCTCCGCCTCCCCCTCCACGCCCTCCATCTCCTCCACCTTCGCCCCCTCCTCCACCTAGCCCCCCACCCCCTCCAAAACGAGCACCCCCGCCGCCAAAAAGAAGGACAAAAAAGGGGTTTGGTGACTTCATAAACAAAATATTCAATCCAGGAAAGTAGCCTTGTTTACTATGTATTCTTTTATTTTGGTCACTAAATCAAATGGCTACTTTGGTTTTGCTCTGCATTCAGTGACCAATGCGATCATACTCGCGTGAAAAAACAAAGTGAGCGGGTGTATGATCGAACGCGAAACGAATTCGTAACGGCTCCAGCGGGTACAATCTCCCACACAAACCAAGCGGTCCGGTTGAAATTTCCCGCGATGCGACCGACTAAAAATCAGCCAAAGCAATCTCTGAATGCGCTGGTGCACAATTTCGCACTTCCGTTTCAATCAACTACACTTCCTTGCTTTCCCTGCTTTTCCTCCCATCACCTCCCCTGCACACCACGTTCTGCACGAAACTGTTGCATCAATTCGAGATCTTTGTGGCGTAGGCTATTGAACGACCAGAGATTAATGCGCAATCAAAGCAAAGAGCGGGATGTCGCGCGTCTGCGTGTGCGCAGTGCTATGTTTCCTACTGACGGCTTGCTCGTACTCACGCGTAGCGCATGCCGACAACGTCTCCGTGTCGTCTCAGGAATCCCAGCCTGCTCCTCCGGGCAGCCCGCCAGGCAGGCTCAATCCGACGCAGTTTCGCGGTCTGCGCGACGATGAGAGCAACGGGCAGCACATGATGGCGGGGAGATACACAGAGATCGGCGAGCACGCAGACAGGAATGGAGCGGCCAAAAGGAGGTTGATGACGGAGAGTTCGGCGAGAGGGAGAGGCATCGCCGGCGCTATAGAAGCTACATTAGGAGCTCATTTAACGGGCCCAAAGGCTTTGAGAGAAGATTCTTTGGGGAGGACGAACGGCGCGGGGCGGGGCATGGCCAATCTCGAGACGCAACGTGCATCAGCAGTGGCAGGAGCAGCAGGGGTAGAATCTACGGTAGACATTGGCAAGCCGACATTCGGCATTTCGCCGCATTGGTGCGCGGACGGGCTGTGCGGCGTGCTGCATCGGCCGATTCGCGTGTTCGTGATGTGGTACGGCGTGTTCTCCGACGCTCAGAAGCAGACGGTTCGCTCCTTCGTCGCATCGCTCAGCCCCAACGCTGACTCCGCCGTCACTGGTAGGAAGCCCCCAACGAATTCCGTCGAAAAATGCCACCGCGGAAGGCTGACACACTGTGGATTAATCTCTCCCCTCAATTTTCTCCGCACGAATCCCGACACTCCCTTGCCCCCGAATGCCCCCATCCCCTCTCCCCCCTCCCTCCTACATCAATCCCCAATGCTGCTGTGGCGGAGCGTGAACCGGCAGTACCACAACCACGCGGGGCGGCGGGTGATGGAAACCATTTTTGGGTCGACTCAAAATCCCCCCATCCTCTTGCCGCCAACATCCACTGGCAGTGCCGCTGTGGTGGAACGTGAACCGGCAGTATCACGATCAGGCCGGTCGGCGGGTGACGGAAACCGTCACGTGGGGCGGCGAGACGGACGACGCAGGATACTCCCGAGGCGCCACGCTCCACGACGCTGACGTCACCGCGCTCAACGCTGACGTCACCGCGCTCAACGCTGACGCCATCACGAGCGGGAGGCTGCCTTATGACGCGGATGGGGTGTACTTCGTGCTGTCGGACGCGAGTGTGGCGCAGGCGGGCTCCGACAATCCCCAGGCGGACCGCTTCTGTGTGGCGTTCTGTGGGTGGCACTTCTTTGGCTCCGCCCCTGGCTTTGGCACGTTCATTTCCGCGTGGACGGGCATGGCGGACCTGCAGGTGCGTGGGTGCTGCTCGCCTGAATCCGCCTGCGATGCTCCCCGAGCACACAGTATCTCCAAACGTTGTCACAAGGCACGTCACACTCATCTCGTGTGCCGGCCCCTCCACCCCGCACCCCATGTCATCACCACTTTGTCCCTCTCTTCCATCTCCCTCACCCTCCTTGCAGTGCCCCACATCGTGCATCGCTCACCCCCACGGGCGATCCCGGCATGGATGGCCTCGTGTCTGTCTTCGCCCACGAGGTCACAGGGGCCGCTTCCAGCCCGTTCATCTCCCTTTTAAAAACGCCCCCCTGCTTCCTCACCCCTCTGTTGTGCGCCGTTTGTTCCTCCCTTACATCTCCCTCACCCAACCCTACAGTGCCCCGCCTCGTGCATAGCAGCAGACATCCGCAGCAACGCGTCCCTCGCCCCCACGGGCGACCCAGGCATGGATGGCCTCGTGTCTGTCTTGGCCCACGAGCTCGCAGAGGCCGCTGCCAGCCCCTTGGTCTCCCTTTTAAAACGCCCCCCCCTGCTTCCTCACCTCTCTGTTGAACGCCCTTTGTTCCCCGCTCGCATCTCCCTCTCTCTCCCCCTGCAGTGCCCTGCCTCGTGCATAGCGGCTGACATCCGCGGCAACGCCTCTCTATCCCCCACGGGCGACCCCGGCATGGATGGCCTCGTGTCTGTCTTCGCCCACGAGCTCGCAGAGGCCGCTGCCAGCCCCTTTGTCTCCACGTGGTTTGACAGCGATGGGGAGGAGAACGCTGACAAGTGCTCGTGGATGTGAGTGCACAGCGCCTCTCGTGTCTGCATGTACCGATCTCACTCAATGCCTGCTTCCGCGTGGTCTGTCTCTGTGCTTGCATGCACCCCTCTCCCTCCGCCTCGTTTGACACACATGGATGCAGCTCCACCCTCTAGGCCCAGTCACCCCTCCCCTCCCTCGTTCTCTGCCCACCCCATCCAGGTCCTCTCCCATTCTCTCAGGGCCCTTCTAGCATCAGGTACAACCTGGTGGGGGTCAACAGCTCCAAGTTCCTCCTCCCCACACTCCTTCCCCCACCACCCTTCCTGTCTCTCTCTGCCTCGCCTCTGCAGGTTTGCCCCTATTCTCACAGACCCATCAGGAGCGCGCTACAACCTGGTGGGCGTCAACGGCTCAAAGTTCCTCATCCAGCACAACTGGGACCTCGCCTCTGCCTCCTGCCACCTCACCCTCCCATACCCACCTCCCCTCTCTCCTCCACCACCCTCGCAACGCCGCCTGCGCCCCTTACCCACCTCCCCTCCACCCGTCACCATAAACCAAGCGGCAAAGAGCATTGTGTCGAGGGTGAAAGCAGTGCTGGCAGGGCGAGGTAGACCGGGGAGGAGAAGACCCCCTCGGCCCCCCGTGGTGAGAGTGCATCCCAGCACGGGTAATGGCGGATAGGGACCGAATGTGGGCAGGCAGGCAAGGGCAGCGGCAATGAGCTGGGGGTTGTTGCTGTAGGTGGTTGTTAGGTAGTTGTTCTATGCATCATGCCTTCCTGAGTGATGCATTCTTGTGTGTTCTGTATTTGCTTACAACTTACAACAAGCCAAGTGGCCATTCCATACTGCGCATCGCATCTATACACTCCACAGAAAGGCACATTCGACCCACAAGCAATCAGGTGAAGCAAACCACAATTGAGCAGCTTTGCTACCACAACCAATCGAGTGGACAGCACAGCATACACGGCAAAAAGCCCTTCATTCTCGGTCCGTGCCATCTCCAGCTCCAGTCCAGAGCTGGCAGTGCAGGCGGCAGTAATGCTCCATGCGGTGCATGAGGGGCAGCAGCAGACTACTGAGGCGCCTCAAAAGTTGTCTCCAGCTCCAGTCCAAAGCTGGCAGTGCAGGCGGCAGTGGTGCTCAATGCGGTGCATGAGCGGCAGCAGCAGGCACAGCGGCCACACGAGCCCCACACCCCACTTGCAGGTGGACCAGACGGCATGGACAAGGGCCACCAGGGCGGACAGCAGCAGCACTGCCGGCAGGGGCAGCAGCAGCGGCGCTTCCTTGCCTTCCCTGCTCTGCTCTCCTGCCCACGAACCATGCTGCTGCACTGCAGACCGACTCCGTAATGACTCGTGGCCTTGCAGACTTTGCTGCTCGTTGCCCGGATCCCTGCTCCTGCCTGCTGCTGCCCCAGAAAATTGCTGCTGCCGTGTCTGCCCCGTTTGCTGCTGTTGCTGCTGCTGCTGCTGCTGCTGCTGCAGGTGAAGCAGCACACCATCCACAGTGTGTTGCAGCTGAGCCATGCCTGCCAGCACCGCATGCATCTCCCTCCGTGTCACATACCCGCCCTCCGACCCCCACCGCCCCTCCACCTCTTGTGCCACCCCATACCCCCTCTCCAACGCGCTCCCACGCCCCACCCCCACGCCCACTCCCTCACTCGCACTCCTCACGCCCATTCCCATCGCCTCACTCACACTACTCATGCTGTTCCCCCACTGACGTTCGCCCCTCCTGCTCGTCACCAGAGCCTCGTGCACACTCTCTAAGGGCCCCACTGACCCGTCAGAGCAGCTTTCCCATGCTGACGTGGCAGCAGTGTGTGCTGACCCCGTGGCAGAGAGACTAGGAGAAGCAGCGCCCTCGCTCCCCACACGCCCACCCTCCCTCCCAGCCCCGGGAAACAAAGCTTGAGCCAAGCCTGCGCCTGAGGCTCGGGAAGACAAGGTCGGGGAGGCACAAGGGCGGAATGAGCCTGGGGAACCTGTGAAGCCTTGGGTCCCACCCGCAGCAGCGGTAGCAGCCACTGCTGCAGCAGCAGCAGCGGCGGCAGCGGCGGCGGCGGCAGTGGGGGTGGAGGAGGAGGAGGAGAGGGAGAGGGAGCGAGTGATGGAGCCGAAGCGACGAAGGTGGTCCTCTGAGACCCCCTCTGGTAGCAGCGGCTGCTGCTGGTGTAGCAAACTCACACTGTCCACTGCCCTCACTGCCCCTCCCTCCCCCTCTCCCCCTCCCCGCCTTCCTCCTCCTCCTTCTCCTTCTCCTCCTCCTTCCCTTCCTCCTCCTCCCCAACCACCTCCCCTCGTCGCCTCCCCCTGCTGCTGCTGCTGCTCACTGCGTCTGGCTTGTCGCCCTCCCCCACCCAAGCTGCGTCCTGATTGGCCGGCAGCGTACAGCCCACGGGGTCGAATGAGCGCCGCTGCAGCCTCAGTAGCGGCGGCTGTCGCTGCTGCTGCTCCCACCGCGCCTCCCATACTCCCAGCATGCATCACTATCCCTTCGCTCACTGTACCCTGCCCCACGGCCCCTCCCCTCTCGCTGCTCCCTGCACTCCTCTCCTCATCCATCCCACTCCTTGCCGCCTCTGAGGCTGTTGCCGCTGCCACGTGTCCTCCGTGTGTTGTCTGGTGCTGCTGAGTCAGCCGCAATCGTTGGTTTCCCGTGTCGCTGACTTGGCTGGCAAGGCTCTTATCCGAATCCACTTGCCTTATTGCCGCTGCAATCTCCAACAGATCGTCCACGTCAGCAGCGAGCGGATCTTGATGCGCCACGTCAGCTCTGGCGGGAGCAGGCGACCAATAGCGGAGCTGGCTCATCTGCTCCTCTTCATAGCGCTGGACGTGCTCCATCTGCGGTTCAGTGCGGTGCAAAGAGATTCAAATGGATGAAAGCTGGTGAGATGCAACATGGAGCCGGATTTTAAAAAAACGAGCGATTAGGGCGAAGAGCAAGTACGGCGATATCAAGCCTAAGCCGAAGCGCCAAGGCGAAGCGTTAGGTAAAAAAACAGACAGAGAAGGACCCGAAGCCAAGGCGTGAGAGAGAGTCAAGAGGACGCGGTGTGCGAGGGAAGGAGGATTCACCTGTCCTGCAGAGTGATCCGACCCGTCGTCTCGCCGTGCCGCGGCGGCGGTAGGACCCGACGTGCGCTTGAGCAGCACGTGCGCCATTCATTCGGCTCCTCGCCGCACGGCGATGATGCTGATTCGCCTTGTTCCTCTCCTCGTCGCGTGCGAAATCTAACGACCGTCTCAGCGACGAGAGACGGATTGCGCGAGGCTTGCTGCAGTCGCAGCGAACAATTACAGGGACGGACACTGGCTGATGGTAATGACGGGCTGAAAAAATAAGGCAAGGAGTTGGAAGAGGTGATGGTTTCAATAAATTTTGTGGATTCAGTTGGAAAATCTGGTGCATTTTTGTTGTCCCAAGCCGTCTCACATATCCAAGCTTTGAGAAAAACTGTAGCGAGTACAGAATACATTCACCACCACCACCACCTTTGCTGATCTTCTTCGACCATCGCCGTCACCATCGGCGTCGCCGTTGCCGCCACTATATGCCCTCACTCGCATCTCTCCGGACTTCGTTCCTCGCCGCACGCCGCACTGCTTGCGGCTCTCTTTCGCCGTCGCACTTCACGAAACCAGTTACTTCATCGACTGTCGTCCCACCATCGCCAACTGTCGTTTCACCCTTTTCATCCCGTAGTGTGACGATGCCGGGGGGACCAGAAGCAGCCGGTGATCCGGGATTCACGGCAGCGACCACCGCTGCTGCCGCCGCGTCACGCGTAGATTCGTCAGCTGAAGGCGCCACGCAGACCACGTGGACATACCGATCGAATCCGTTCATTCCGCGTGACGTGGCGGAGATCGTGGTAGTGCGGCACGGCGAGACGACGTGGAATCGCGAGAACCGCATGCAGGGACAGACGGATTCCGACCTCAGCGACGTCGGCCGCGCTCAGGCCCGCGCGGTGCGCCCCGCCTCGCCCCTCACGCCTCCTCGCCCCTCACCCCGCTTCGCCCCCCGCCTCGTCGCTCACCCTTGTCTCCGTTCGTCCCCTCCCCTGTTCTCCCCGTCTCCAGCATTCACTGAATACCCTTCCTCCATCGTCCACCACTTTAACTATCTTCCCCGCCCCCACTTTCTTTCCCCCCCATTTGGCTTCCTATGCCCGCTACCCCTCATCCTTCCTCCTCCCTCCCCTCTCCATTTCCTCTCCCCTCGCCATCCCCTCGCCATCCCATCCCCAGCTCGCAGTTCGCTTCGCGGGAGGCGACCTTCCATTCGCAGCAGCATATTCATCAGACCTCAGGCGGGCGGCAGAGACGGCGGAGGCGGTGGCAGAGGCGGTGGGCATGCGGGGAGAGCAGGTGGTGCGGCTGCCGGGGCTCAGAGAGCGCAGCTTGGGAGTTCTGGAGGGCCTCGTCCGGGAGGAAGCTTCTCGGAAGCACCCTGACGCCTACGGCATACTGACTTCGAAGAACTGGAATCAACCTATTCCTGTATGCCACTCCGTTTCCACCTCTTCTCCCCCACTCCATTCTTGTAATTTTTTCAATTGCCTGACCGGCCCGCACTGTGCCTTCTCTGCCCCTCTCACCTCTGACGGGTTGCCCCCTTGTGTCTGTCTCTATCTGGCTCATGAACATTAGGGAGGGGGAGAGAGCCTGGAGGCCATGTATGGGAGAGTGACAACAACCGTCAATCGCATTGCCAAGGAGCACCTCGGTAAGTGCAGGAAAGCAGCACTATCCAAGTTTCGTTGCTTTTACCGTACATCTGTGTAAGTGATGGCTTTTGAAATCTGTTTGCAGGGCAAAGGGTGCTCCTCGTGACTCACGGTGGAGTGTGCAATTGCATCCAAATGAAGGCATCAGGAAACAGGCACGCGAAGAAAGTGTACAACACATCAATTGGCATTGTTAGAATAACACCTCCTGACAAGTGGACCATCTTACGGTGGGCCGATGTTGAACACCTCAAAGCTGTCGACTATGATAAGCAGGCTTTTGGAGGTGGGGCTGATTCTGGCTAATGTGTTAATGCATGTACATATACGTTAAGTATATACGAATACTGAGTGCGAGGACATCGAAGGAAAAAATGCGAAATGATATGTGGTAGAAATTGGAAATGAAAGGCCAATTGTTTCAGGCAACTAAATTTACCTATGGTGTCAACTTACGAAATGGTGTAGACACCATGTCTCAAACTATCTTCCTTGTTCCGCTCAACGTTTCCCAGCAAAACCGATAGTTTGCTAGCCAAATCCCCTCGAATTCAGGCACGGAGAACAGAAATCACCCTGCCATTGGGGAGGCGGCAACCACAAAAGGTACGCAACCTGGAGCAGCCAGTCCATTGCCGCCAACACGGTTTTCAAATTCCTGACGTGGCTGACCAGGCCGAAGTGTTGATTGGACGGTCCCAAGGGCCAGATCGATGATAGCAAGGATGCAATTTTCCCCCAACCAACCAATCGCAGTGGATGCCTGTCTCCTTCCAAGAGTTTGGGGCAAGCTGATGAAAAGTGCACAACTGCCCGGACCGGTAACTACAGAACACGATAGGTACAGGAAAACTTGTGGTCAGATCCATACATCATGTGGCGAATTCTCCGTCACCGCAGACGCGTGCGAAGTTCTCTCAGAACAGGCCCTTGCGAAATCAAAAGTTGCGGGTGGGACCACCGCATCCCCTCACAGGTAACTTTTCCAGCTGCAGGGCTCGGTGCGCCACGGGGCAGAACCTAGGCCGCGGGGCAGCCCAGAAAACTGAAGCGCTGCCAAGAAAAGCGACGTTCCCCCCTCGTGTGACTAACCGGCGGTAGGGCACGGCACGGGCAGAAAGCATGATGGTGATGGCAGCAGAGGTGCACGGGCAGGCGGGCGGTCTGCAGAGGGCGCGGTATGGGTGACCGCAGGGCACGGATTTGCACCTGCGCGCGCAAGGATGAAATCGAGGAGGTTGGTGGTGGTGCGGAGGAGAAAGTGCGAGTGAAGGCTCAAGTGACGCGAGGAAGCAAGAAGCGAAGCCGACAGTCATGCTTCTTTGTCCCACCTCACATCCACGTCTCTTTGCTGTCAAACTTGCTTCTAGGGAGGTATAGGTCATGCCCGAACTCCCAGAGCAAGACCGATCCGTTTTTTCGAGATCATCTTTTAGAATTGTCCACGCCCCGTCTGAATTCTAGTGAATTGCGACATAGGCGTGTGGAGGCTTAGATACTAGTGGCCTCCCTCAGACCCATGGACCATGCAGTGCAAGCCCCGGCCATGGCTGCCAAGAGTTCGCTAGCGAGCCACGCTCTGCTTTCCCCGCTCTCGACTCCCCGCGTTCAGCAGCCCAAGTCACGAGCTGGACGACAGTCGGCGCCCGCTGCGCCAACGCCGTCAGAGCCGCGATGTAGTCCGAAATTAACGACGTCGTTTCTTCCCGCGAAGCCCTCTCTCCTTCGCCAATCGCACCTGCGACACTCCACCGCAGTCCACGCCTGTCGACCGCTTCTCGTGCCACCATCGTGCAGCGGACAGGCCTTCCATACTTCCACTGCGTCATCTAGACCGTCCGTCCCTAGCCACGCCTCGAGCCAGCCGGTCAGCGATTCTTTAATCATCGACGATGCTCCGCGCGAGGAGTCGCAGCAGGGCGCCGCACATCCCGGTAGGGATTTGTTGCTCGGTAAGCGGTCCCGTTCTCGGTCGCACGTAGCGAGAGCTCTGCCGATCTCGATACACGACGTGGAAGGGCCGCTCCGCGACATGCTGTTCGCGACGATCGGCGCGGCGACGGCTCTCATGGCGTCGGGGTGCATCGCGTGGCTGTCGAAGCGAAAAGAGTCCAAGGTCCGTGGATTGCCGATTCTAAGGGGGGGCTCATTCCCGCCACGCAATCGAAGCGATCCATGCCATGCCAGCTATTCCATACCATCCTCCTTCAGCGACGAGTTCTTCTGCGTGCAAAATTTCGCTGAGTTGTCGACGATTGATTGTTTTTTTTTCCACTTTAAACTCGCCTCGCGCCCTTTCCGAATCTTCACAGGTGCTCGCGGAAGCCAAGGAGCGGGGGCCCGCCGCGTTGCCCGAGGTCCCGCCGGCGGCGGATCCCAGCAGCGCAATGGGCGGCGCGGAGGCGGGCGTGGGCAGCGGCAAGGAGTCAGTGGAGTGGGTAAACATGGTGCTGCATAAGATGTGGAAGGTGTATCGCCGCTCCATCGAGGCGTGGCTCGTCGGGTTGCTACAGCCGGCGATCGATACGCTCCCGCTGCCCGCCGTCGTCACGCGCGTCGAGATCGCCGAGTTCAGTTTGGACTACGAGCCGCTCGCCGTGCGCAACGTGCAGCGCCGCGCCAGCCGCCGCGCCAACGACCTCCAGTGAGTTTCGCCCAGTGACCGTGCCCGTGCCCGTGCCCATTCCTACCCCATGCCCGTGTCTAAGCCTGTTTCCGCGTGCGTCCGTCTCAGTAACCTTCATCCTCCCCGCCCCTTTCCTCACCCACCTCGCCCCCCCCCCCCCCCAACCCCCTTCCCCCCCGCAGGTACCATGTGGCTCTGCGCTACACGGGCGACGCGCGGTGCCTGCTGCTGTTACATCTGCGCGTGGCGGGAGTCGACTTCGCGGTGCCGGTGGGCGTGCACGACCTGGACGTGGACGCGGAGCTGTGGGTCAAGCTGCGCCTGACGCCGCGCAAGCCGTACGTGGGCACGCTCTCCATCGCCTTCGTGCGCCTGCCCACCATCAAGCTCGTCCTCGCTCCCTTCCGCATCGTCAACCTCTTCGGTGAGTGCGCTGCGCGCCGAGCCCCCGTCTCTGGTTGCTTCAGGACTGACGTATCTGTCAACGTCCGTGTTGTCTCTGCTTGCCCTTTCTTCTCGCACCCCTGACCTGCTGCGCTTACTCTGTTTGCTTGATCATGCGAGCTCTGCTTCCCCAACTCACCTACGTTTTCTTCCCGTCTCCTCTCCTTTCCCCCTTTCCTTGGTATTTCCGCGCTGCTCCGTCGCTCCCCGCGTCTCACGGTCTTGGGATTGCCGTCGTTCAACGCCGTGAGCAGCCATTCCGTTCCTCTCCAGGTTAGCCCTTCGTTCTGTCGCTCGCTCCTTGTAACCCGCTTTTCCCCAACCACGCTCCCCCCCCTCCCCTCCTCCCCTCGTCATCTTCTTGTTTTCTGCATTGACAATTGCTAGCTTGAGTGACACCCTGTGCTTTTCCCATGTCCCACACTCCCACCACTCTCCCACCACACTCCCACCACACTCCCACCACACTCCCACCACACTCCCACCACACTCCCACCACACTCCCACCACACTCCCACCACACTCCCACCACGCGCTCACCACTCACCACACTCACATCGTCTCCCGTCCATCCCACGCCCCTCCCGCCCCCATCCCTGTCAGCTTCCTCTCCAAGCTACTCACAGTCGACCTGCCACGTCTGCTCGTGCTGCCACGTCACATCACCTTCGACTTCCTCCCGGCCGGCGAGGACCCCCAGCAGCACATGGCAGCAGCAGCGTCCGCGATGGTACTGGATCTGCTTAAATCGGAGACGTTCACGGGGCTGGCGGGGCAGCGGCCGTCGTCAGCAGCGTCAGGGCTCGTGCCCACGCGCATGGAGCCCAGCGACTCGTTCGTGGGGGAGCTCTCTGTCACCCTGTGCGAGGCGCGCAACCTGCCGTCCTATGGCTTATCAGGTGGGCGCTGGCAGCAAAAGGGCCTTGGCTACAGTAGCCTGTCTTTGGCGTGCCTCGCATCCTCGTTGCAGCAACTACAGCTAACCGTTGTCCTGTGTTTCTGCATGCGTCTGTGCGTGTGGGTGTCTGTGTGTGTGTGGTTGAGTGCAGTGTGGAGCAACCCGTACTGTCGGTTGATGGTGGGCGATGTGATGGTGGAGAGCAAGCGCAACAGCGAGACGTCACACCCCTCAGGCGCGAGGGACCCGGTGTGGAATCAGGACTTCCACTTCTGGGTGGAGGACCCCGTGGGGCAGAAGCTCACTGTCATGCTGCGGGATTCCATGGCGCTCAGCCGCAACATTGGCTTTGTCGAGGTGCGTTGCAATGTGTGGCACTGAGGCAGGGAGGGATGAAACATGGGAATTTTCTCAATTGAGCTGGTTTTATGATGATGAGTGTCGTCCTGCCGTTTTCTGGTGCCTTCTTCCCTTCGTAACGCACCGCTGACAATGCTGATGTACCACCACCCCACATACCCCCCCTCGCCCCTCACAACGCCAGGTGCCCATCTGGCAACTACAGGACTGTGTGCCGCTCTCCATGTGGTTACCACTGTTACAAGACGGCCCCTTTGGCGTCAAGCCAGCAGCTCAGGGCGAGATCCGCATTCTCCTCACCTACAAGTCGTACGTGGATCGTGATGAATCGTCTATGTTCAGTAACCCTGGTGGTAACGCGGTAACAACCGCCATTCCGGCACCCACCGCCCCTATCGCTTACATAAAAGTGTTTGGAGAGAGTGACTCGGACAGCGATAAGGGGACGGCAGCGGAGGGAGGGGCGGAGGGAGAGGTGGATGAAGAGGCGTTGCGAGCACTGCAGCAGGAGCGGGAGCAGAAGGGACTGGATAAGATGGTTGAGGATAGCATTACTGAAGTGGTGGCGAGTAATGAGGCGGAAGTAAGGGCGGCGGAGGGGGACGAGGGGAGCAGTGCAGGGAACGGTGAGGGGAAGGTGGAAGAGAGAAAACTGTCGCTGGTGAGTGTGGCGGGAGTGGTGGGGTCAGGGGCGGTGGCAGCTGTGGGTGGGGTGCTGAGCGGTGCAAAGGGGTTGGCGGTTGGCGCGGCAGGGGCAGTGGGAGGAGCGGTAGGGGTAGCAGGAGGGGCTGTGGCTGGAGCAGCAGGGTGGATGTTCGAGAGTGTGAGGGGCGCTGCTGGTCGCGTGCTGAGGAACAGGACTAGTGATGAGGTCTATGCTGAAAGGGCAGGAGAGGAGGAGGAAGGGAAGGGAGGTGTTCGTGACATGTCAGCGGCTAGGGACGGAACAGGCTCGGATGCCGAACCTGAGATTCGCATCCGAGCCTTCCCTGTGAGTGACTGGTCGCCGCCGAAGCAGCAGGGTAAGGGCGCGCATCGTGCTGGATACGAGGAGGGTGAGTGGGACGAGGTTCGGCAGGAGCAGAGCGAGGCTCGGTTGACAGAGTGGGATATAGAGAACACAGCAGAGCGGCTGTGGCGGCTGGAGGAGAGGCGGAGGAGGAGGGAGTTGAGGGCACAGCGGGCCAGCAGTGATGCAGACTCTGCTGACACGGGTGGGTCGAGGGACGCAAACGATGCAGCAGCAGTGAGGGGGAAAGTGAATGGCAAGGTGAATGGGAAGGTGAACGGTGAGACAGCAGAGGGAGCGGAGGAGAGGGGCAGGTCGGATGCGTTCGGTTCGATGAACGGTGCCATTAGCGACTTCTTTGACTACATGAACCGCCAGTAACACGAAAGTAATACACCATACGAGTGTGGTTACACCATCAGGCCCATGTGTGACTGAATTGGTGTTAGGCGGGTGTTGCAGTAGGTATTTTTTTTACATTTGTGTTGGTGTGGCCGTGACCCACAGGGCCATATGCTGGTGATCCACACATGCCCGGCCTGCCCACTTGCTTTAGCCCGCCTGCCAGTAAGTGTTTTGTTTGTCACTCATGCTGCCACTGGTCTGCATATCGTATACACAGCTGCCAAATATCAATTTCTTAGTCAGTCTATTGTCTTGGAGAACCAGCTACGTAGGGAACTTACAAAGTCAGGTGAATTCAGAGGCATCTAGAACTGTCTGACAGAGACTAACTGGTACATTCCAAACCACATCCTTTGAGATACTGTAGTTGCACGCATCCTCAATGCTCGAGATTAAAGACATACTCTGTCAGACGCTTAACCTGAGCTAGTTGCCTCTGCTCCTCCTCAGTTTCATTGTCCTTGCCTGCTTGGACAACTGGTGGTATGAACATGTCTGTTGTAGAATCATATTTCCAGTCCTTGGCCTCCTCCACTACTCACACTCACCCAGGAACAACAATTGCAAAAGGGGGAGGAAATGGATTGATTTGGGGATGGATTGATTTGGGTTGCAGGACATTTACTAGGTGGTACCTATGTCCCTTACATGAAAAACTTTGATGTGTTGCGACAAGACAATAATGTGCGTGGAAGAATATACAAATGGGCCTTGCGAAACACGGAGAGGAGACAGCGGATTGGAACTGATGTGAGAAATGGAACTGAAGAAAAAGGGACAAAAGAGAGCAGTTGAGAATAAAGCAAGACAAGTGGGGTTGAGGGGAGAGTGCTCACGGAATGAAAGGGCCTCTTGAGAGGTGAGACCGAGGAAGGTGGCAGCATGTGAGGGTGAGATGGTGGAGAAAGAGCGAGCAAGCAGTTGTATCATGGTGTGTGTGTATCTGTCTGCAATGCAGGGAAAATGCAACCAACATAAGGGTAACACAGAATGTTTTCGTGGCACATACGAGAAAGTCAATATATAGCGCACTGCTTGCCATGCGATGAAGCAATTTCAGCCAAAAACACAACGAAGCACATCTGATTCACACTTAGACGGGAACACCAAAGAGGAGGCATGGATATAAAAAAATGCGGCTCTGAAGGTGGATGCAGGTACCTGTGACAGCAGCGACCATGGGTTGCACAGCAGGCGACCACTCAAACGCTTTCAAGGCCTCGTAAACGTCATGGCTGTCTCGCTTCCACATAGCTTGTCACTCTCCACGTGGCTGCCAGCTCAGCATTGCCGTCTTTCACTGACGCAGGTATCCGCTTCCATAAAAACCGCGACTCATTTCTTTGATGAAACCGAACAAATGGAAAGAGGGTGGAGAGAAGAATCAGGAAGAGAAGAAGAAGCTGTGTTAAATCAGGCGAAGTGAGGACCAATGACCACCAGTCATGAGACACCTGCACATTTCGAGACGTTACAGGAAACAAGAGACCACATAGCGACTTCCAGATTCTACCCAAGATGCTAAGCATCGCTTACAAATCTCCATCGTGAAGCAAGCCAAGCAGATGCAGCGACTGGATCGTTGCGGGTAGAGGCGGTGCTCCCGATGCTGCAGCCTGCACCATGAAGGAGAAAATCAGAAACGAACACTTCACGCGCTGGGCTAGTGAAAGAAGCGGACTGGAATCCGTATCATTACAGGTGCGAACCAGGTTAATACGCGACGCTCCGCTAGGCCGAATTCGTCATGGATGCCTGGAACCGATCATTCTTTAGGCCATTGTCAGACCGCGTCAAGAGGGACTAGGCTGAAACCTGCGATACATGACCTGTCCAAGGAAGAGAAGAGTAAGGCATGCACATACCTCGAGCTCAAGCTGACCACAGATTTCGGCTATCCTAGAGAAGTCCTTCGCGGCAACAGCAGCCTGCGCAGATTGCTGGGAGACTGGGCTCACTGCTTCCACCGCCATCGCAAACACTCGATCAGCGGTAGGAATCCAAGAAACACGAGCGTAAAGATTACAGTGTCATGTTTTAGTTTGGCTGCCAGCTGTCATGTGGTTTCGTGGTGTAGTTGGTTATCACGTCAGTCTAAAACACTGAAGGTCTCCGTTTCAAGTTCGGGCGAAGCCATTTCGCGTCCACCGATACCGCTGCCTAGTTTTTTCCACACAAGGATTTACAGGTGGCTTGATACCAGTAACTACGGTAAGTTGTTTTTGAAAAGACAAATCCGAGGTCCGGCAAAAGAGACTTCAACTTGATTGAACACAGAAAGTATGTAGGCTTTACAAAATACCATTCAGAACACGCTGGTAGTAGTCATACTGTCTGGTACTCCAAGCATCAACACTCTTGCTGATGAACGACAGGATGAGCGAGACACATTGCTGCAGAACATAGACAAAGAGGGTTAGTTTCCGAGCTTGCATTGGAATGGAAGCAATCAACAGTCTTACCTCCTCTGTTAGTGTAAGGTGGAAACGCCTCCTCAAGTTATGTAGCACTCGGTGCTTTGCCTTGAAGCAGGGACACCGTGTTTGCTGAAAACAACATATTTATATGTCATTGAAAATTGTAGAGAACCGACTGTACCATGCTTCAAGCAGAACCTGTAACAAGATGCGCTCACATACCTGCATCATCTCAACCAGCAACAAGATGCGCTCTGCATGCTTGCGGCATGTAAGGAAACCTTGTATGCACAGAACCTGTAATGGCAGACACAGAGCTGATTAGGGCGATAGATGAGGATGATATCTTCATGGAGGGGAACATTTGTGCAGCGCGGGACAGAGCACGCAAGTGAAATACAAGGACAGCTCACCTTGAAATAATCGAATGCCTCGCTTGGAGAACCATCGGCATCAGAATCCATAACCTGAACAGTTCACAAAGCAGATGACAGGCCTGTAATTCCTCACAGTTCCTTCAAAATTGCAGCTGGGACAACATTGGTAGAAGCTATAACTAATTGCCCACCTCAACCATTTCACGGGTGAGCTTGAAAGGTGCTGTTTCGAAGTTGACAGAACCAGGTGAGTTGGAGAGCATGAAGCCATAGTCAATGTGGATAATGTGGCCCTGGTCATCCAAAAGAATGTTGCCATTGTGCCGATCCTTCAGCTGCACCACGAAAGTACTCAAATGATGGGTCATTGATCTCAGGAGAAGGTGAAAGTAGCAAGAAGGAGACTCACCTGCAGGAGGTAGCAGACAACGGAATAGGCTGCCATGCTCTCTACAAAGTTCTGCTGAGCAACGCGAAACTCAGGAGACCCATGCTTGAATTTCTCGCAAAAGTACTGCCGCAAGCTTTTAATGTGGGAGTTGCGGCTCTTGAGGGCGTGCAATGAGATCTGCGAAAAGGAAGGGGCCAAGTTGAGAAAATGATTCTTCACAGAGACGTGCGTTCAAGAATGAAGTGCATGATGTCACTCACAGCATCCGTTATGGTCTCAATGAGAGCAGTGCTGCCTGAAGTGACCAGGATCTCATACGGCCTTAACCACAGTGGCAGCCCCGATTCTTGAAAGACGTCTGCAGGCCAGGGCATGACCACATCGTTACACATGCTTGATTGTGGACAAGAGAAGCAAGACACGCTCAAATCTGCCACAAAGCCTTGCTCACCAGATAAGTGCGTGACAAGCTGCAAGGCAAAATGCTCCTGCCTGCAATCATCACCACTCTTGACAATGACTGACCGCAGGTCCCAGTCTGGCGATGTGCCAAACTTGGACGACTGCCTTATTCGTGCCTTGCGACTCTCCCAGCTCTCATCCACTCGTTGTCTCTCCAGCAGTTCCTGCATCCCCCTCAGGGTAAAACGGAATTTCACGATGAGTTTAAAAGAGCGTAGTAGTGGTAGCTGATCGGTTGCAGAATCTGAAGCTCAGGGCACAGACCTGAGCAGGGCCGACTCCTGATGAAGGACTGGTGACAGGCATGCCTGGAGGAGGCCCCTCGCCTTGATGGGTGACTGCCTGCCATGGGCAACGGAAGTGAAAGGTCTGAGCGTGAGAGGTGCTGATTGCTCCAGACACAACCTTGATTACCACAAATCGCTACTTAGAAAAGAACGCCGGGGTGCAGGGGGGCAAGGGGGGCAGGGGCTGCAGGAAGCACATACCCGGACATGTGCAATGGCAAGGCTGCTGGGCACTCTGGCTCGGCCACGGGAGAGGCTGACAGCATCCAGGCCTGTGAGGTCATCAAGAGTCACTCCTGGCACCGCCACCAGCCTCACACTCACATACTCCTCCCACTCTGCCTGCTCTGCATCACCCCCTTTCTCTGTACCCGTGTTGGAGGCCACAGATGGGGTGCTTGGGCTCCGGTTGGGCTTGCTGCCTGCACCAGCCAGTGCTGCTCCAGCTGCTACTGCCTGCTGCACTTGACTCAGGATGTCTGTCCTGACACCAGCAGCAGTAGCAGCAGTAGCAGTAGCAGTACCAGGAGCAGCAGCGGGAGCAGGTGGGCGTTTGCAGACGTCAAGGCTGAGCTGCACGAGGCGCATGCGGGAGTACATGCTGGCCATGGCGCGGTCCAGAGCCACGTCTGACAACGTGCGCGAGAGACCCAGTGGGGCGTCCTGCGTGTGCTGAGAGGCAGGGCGCGCCTGGCTCCACATGTGCAGCGCCCAGGGCGGAGGGCGCATGGGCAGGGGCTGGCTGGCCGCCAGGGGGATGCCTGTCTTGGCCGGCGCCATGCCCTCGGGTGCCGTGCCGGCCTTGCGTGCACTGTGGGTGAATGAACAGATGAGCAAACAAAAGAGGGAAAACGAGTGAGTAGTCGAGAAGGGAGGACATGCAGTCGGGTGACAAGGAGATAATGAGTAGCTTGGATGGCGGTGGAAGAATGGAAGGAAACTGACCTCAAGGGGAGGCAGTTGAGGACTTCGAGCAGCAGCATGAAGGGCACTCTGTCCCGCGAGCTCATGAGCACAGCCTCGTCCTCCAGCAGCCTCACCACTCTGAAGCACCCCTTGCCCATGGGGAAGAACACTCCTGTGGCACACAGCACGCCGGGAATGAGACACCTCCCTCACGCTCTAGCTAGCACATGGTTGTCAGCCACCTGCTTACAACATGCGCGATAATTACTGACCCTCGTTTGCCGGCATGCCCGCAAGATGTGCGTTCAGCTCTGCAAGGGACTGCGGAATGAACACAGTCAGTGCAAAGGGCATTATTGACTAACATGCTGCAGGAAACAGATGGTCCACAGGGGTGCGGCCTTGCTCACCTCCCCGAGTGCCGTCTGCCTGTCCTCGTTGGGGAACACATCAACGAGGCCAAATGAGATGTCGCCAAGGGCCTTCACAAAGTCCAGTGTGGCCAGAACAGTGCTCTTCCTGATGCTGAACGACGGGTGCTTGGGGAGCTTCGGCGCGCCATACAGGCCTTCCAGTGAATCCTGCACATCAACGCAAGAAGAGTGAGTGCCAAGCTAAGAACAAGCGATACAACGACATGGTAATAATGGCAGCTTACGTCAGTCTGCGGAGAAGCGGAAGCTCCAATATCAATGATGGAAACGCCCTCTGTTGCTCCACGCCCCAGCGGTGTCCCTGAGGGGTTTGGGCTGCTCTTAACTCCTCCTTTGAGTGCGGAGAAAAGGCCCTCTGCTCGCAGCGACCAGGGGCTTGAAGTCGGAGCAGGCTGTTTGTGGAACGAGGGGGAAGGGCATGCCTTCTCCATCACCACTCCTGCAGTCAGGAGACTGGCATCATCAACCCCAGCAGAAGTCAATGGTGCTGCATCTGAATCAACATTCTTGCAGGATTCCAGAGGAACGGCTGTCTCTGCCGAAGTTACAGGTGGTTCTGCTTCAGCTCCGTTGTCTTCCCTTGTGTCAGGCTGACAATCTGTAGCAACACTCTCGATGGCTGGTTTGTTGCACGTGGGCAGTGCATGCTCTGAAGTCCAACCCCCACTAAAGCTTCTCAGTGAGCCCATCCTGCTTGCAAACTGGTCTGCAAAACTTGGTGGAACCTCCTCACCACCCTCGCCTGCCATCTCTTTGGCCTTAGTCGCTCCTGATGCAAAGAAGGTTGGAGTGCTGAAGAGACTGCGAAGGGCACTTTGCTTTTGGGGCAGCGGTGCATCAACAACCGGGACATGGCTTCCTTTCGGGGATTTTGTGGCAGCAGCATTCAAGCTGAAAAACGACGGCTCCTTGGGCTCCTCCTCTGGCCTGTCTTTGAAAAGCCTCCGCATAAATCCAGGGGATGCCTTGGGCGTAGGCTTGCTGTCCTGCTCATAGATCGTCTCCACTGCTGGGGAAGCATCTCTCCGCAGTGAGTCTGGCAGTTGAGCCGGTGAAACCAGAAAGCTCGCCGTGCTGCTACAGGGAACCTGTATGTCATGGAAATGCTCATGCTCTGGGCTTGCCATATGCTCAAAGCTCACATCAGTTGGACTGGTCCCCAAGTCCGGCCCTGCTCTGATGGATGCGGGTTCCCCCTCTTGAGGAGCCTTTCGTCGCAGAGCATTTTTGGGAACCATGCTGACTGCATGGCTTGCCGCCTCCCCCACCAGCAGCCTCGCTCCTGTTGCCGCACCAGCGACTGTGGCAGCCACTCCAGAAGCAGCACCAGCTGCAGAAGCAACAACACCCGACGCCGCGCCAGCAGCCGTAACAACAACACCAGAAGTAGCAGTGGCAGCGGTAGCAACAACACCTGCTGCACCAGCAGCAGTGGCGACGACACCAGAGGCAGCATCTGCAGCTGTAGCAACGAGTGCTTTGAGCACTGTGGTGCTTGATGAGGCCATGGAATCCGCTTGATGCTGCTGCATTTCCTTCTGTTGCCCCCCCTCAGTCCGCTCCTCACAACCATCAGATCCTGCTGCAACTGTTGATCCAAGCTGTTGCCGCTCCTTTGTTGAACCAGCGGCTTCTGTCTTGTCATGCAGAATGCGACTTAAAAGTCCCACGTGCTCATTCCCGGTGTTTTCTTTTGACTGTAACTCCTTTTTGTGCGCTTCTCCTCCGATCAGAGTCACTGCCTCCTTGCTCATGCCACCAGATCTCTTCCACAAGATCCACTTGAGCAAGCCGTTCTCACTGTCCGCTGGCACTGCAGCTCCACCCTCATCCTGCGGAGCCTGCTCGGTTGGCGTGTCGGATGGATCAGGCCTTTCAGGTGAGTCAGCGCTTGTCAATCTCTGCAGAAGACCTTCTTGAGCATTTGAATCAAGAGGCTCATCGGTTCCATCTCTCAAAAGCTCATGATATTTTCCTCCAGCAACTGCCGCGCTTGTCTCAGCTACAGCAGAGTCTCCAGCTCCAACAGATGAACAACCATTCCCTGCGGCATCAGATGAATCTGCTGCTGAAGCTGTCGGCAGGCTTCCATCCAGTGAGCTCGGTCCTGCTTTTTCAGAAGACTCCCCAAATAACCGCTGAAAGAAAGTGTCATTCTTATCAGAAAGTCGAAGAGTTTCCACCCCGTTGCCATCCACTGAGAAGAGCCGCCTCATGACACCAGCGTTTCTTGATTCACCTCCAGAATTGCGTCTGCCTTGATTCAACGATGGGCTGCATCCTCCTGCACTCACTCCTTCCTCTGTCTGAGTTTCGTCAGCTTCTGTCACTGCTCCAAGTTCTCCCACAATGGTTGACGCTGCTTCTCTTCTTCCCGCCAAAAAGCTCCAGCTAGTGATGTTCTCTGGACGGGTCTGGTTGGTATCAGTAGCAGGCGCGCTGAGCTTCCGTTCACGGAGGAAACGCCAAAATGTTGACTCGTGGGTAACAACGCCATCACTAGGTTCAGGCTTCAGACTCGTTTCTGAGCTTGGTTCATCCTCAAGAGACGGAACGGATTCAGCGCCTTTGGGAGGTGGAAGTTCGTCGGATCCTTTTTGCAAAGTTTCTCTTCCCCAGACATAGCTCGGTGCAGATGCTAAAATGGAATGCTTGCCATCAACAGCGTGGCTGGAGCTGGAGGAGGCAGAAGGCAGGGGAAGCAGACGCCTTGAGGCTGATGACATGAGTTGAAACACGTTCTGGCGACCGAAAAACGAAACCCGTGGTGGTCTTGGACACCTTAGGCTAGGAATCGAACCCTGCATGGCAGCCTCGTAGAATTTGGCTTGAATGGTAGCAACGGACAGGTCGTTGGGTCGATCAGTGAGCTCAGCTGACAGAAACCAGTATACCTGAACACCAAAACAACAAATTGTCAGTCATTTTCAACAGATAAGCAAAATGCAGCTGTTCTACTAGACTCCTTACCCGCAGGAATGAGTGCAGCGACTGGGAACAGACATCGGTGGTATACTTTTCAAGAGACGGACTCGGTTTGTGAACAGCGAGGTAGCATATCTGAAATAGGTAATCCTGAACTCCTTCCAACGGTAACGCGTACATCCTATCGCACAAATAGTCTCGCACCCCACCACCTTGGTGCCTGAAACAGGAACGACACGACTGTCAGTATTCAACTTCCTTCGTCCTTTTAACGGAAAACATTCTGTCCACGCCTACTTGAAAAGGTACGTGACGGCGATCCACTCGCAGAAAAAGGCGGAGTCAAAGAACCGCTTCAGCCAGCCGCCATCGGAACGGAAGGTAAGCGAGCTGGGCTCGTCTTCTCCTTCTTCAAGTTCCTCGGAATCTGCAGAAGAGTCAGTATCACTGTCCGCCATCGCGTTGACTTAAAAAAAAAGAACTAGCGTAACGGCTTTACTAAAGAATTAGAATCTGCCTGACTGACAGAACCTGCGCTGCGACCTACTTGCTGGATACAGCATGCTCTGCAAACTATTCTTGAACGGTGGTTGTGCTCTGCCGAGCAACGGTCATCACAGCGTCGATTGTTTCGGACGGAGATGCTCAATTTCCTGATGCGATGATTCGCCGTCCCGCAGATTCTTTGAACATCCCTTATGAGTTGCGCAAATGCGATAACTACGGTTGCGGCTATCGAGCTAGTTCATCCATGCTATAAACACATACTGTCAAAAATATAATTCTAAAGGAAGACATCTCCAGCTTACATAATCAAACGCAGAAAGAGGAAATAAAATAGCAGAACACACAACAAATCGGAAACTAAGCAATTTCCTTCTTCAATGGCTCCGCTTCATCGACAGCTTTGACACTCGAATCGTTCCCAGTACTGCCCGTCAATGACTTTTGCTTCACCCAACCCACCGGCACATTTCCTTGTGCAACGGCAAGAATGTTGGTGAGGCGCCGTGCCACATCCCTCATCTCCGGCCTCAGGGCTCCAGGGCGCTTCAGGCAATCCATGGCCAGATCAACAAACATAATGATGGCATCGGGTGGCGCTTTCAGGTCCTCCATCACCACTTGGGTGATCTTCCCCGCCATCACAAGCTCATTCGCCTGCGCAAGTGAAACAAGAATGCAAGATCAAAGGCTAGCCAAGAATGCAAGGAGCTTTGGCAAGACATGATGATTTCTAAACTGGTGCTCAGCACAAAGGTCCGTACCCAGATGGAAATGTGACGGTTGCTGAAGGCGATGTCACTCTCATCCAGCACGGCCCGCTTCCCCGACACCATCTCCAGCAGAACCACTCCAAAGCTGAACACATCACTCGCCGTCGTCACAATCTTGCTGTCACCATAATCTGGGTCCATGTACCCGGGCGTGCCCGCCAGGTTCGTCGCATTCTCCAGGTTATCCGTCTTCACCAGCCCGAAATCACCCAGCTTCGCGGTCCTGCCCTCCCCAATGAGAATATTCGCGGGCTTCACATCGCGATGCACAATGGGCGGAGAGAGCGAGTGGTGCAGGTAAGCCAGACCCTCCGCCGCGCCCTGTGCGATGCGCAGGAGCTCTTCAAAGGAGAGCGACACGCGGGTGGAACCAGGGGGAGCGTCCCCGGCGTGGAGGTAGTGGGAGAGGTCGCCTTGGGGCACGAACTCGTAGACGAGGATCTGCTCCTGGTGGCCCGTGGCGGCGTTGTAGTCCATGCAGTACCCCAGCAGGCGCACCAGGTGCTGGTGCCTCAGCGTTGCCACTGCCCGCACCTGCACAGGGGATGATGGCGAGGTTGAGGGTGGGGGTGGGGGGGGAGATGATAGGGAGGAGGGATGAGGGAGTGGCAGGGACAAGCAGGCATGGCACAACGTGACAAGGGGTACCTGAGCCGACGCAGAGCGTGCTATATCCCTGCTATAACTTCTCAGCCGCCACACGTCTCCTAAAAACTCATCCAAAATGTGCATAATCCCGCTCCTTACCATGCCCACCTCACCATCTCTCTCCCCCCCTCCTTCTCTCCCTTCCCGCGCCTCACCTCCTTCTCAAAGTCGTTGGTGAGGAACTTGGCGCGCTTGATGGCCCACAGGGTGCCTCATATCACTCCCTTACATGCCCACCTTCCCCCCCCCCTCTTCCCCCCCTCCCCTCCCTCCTCCCTCTCACGCACCTCCTTCTCAAAGTCGTTGGTGAGGAACTTGGCGCGCTTGATGGCCCACAGGGTGCCGTCGGGGGCGGTGCCCTTGAAGACGCTGCCGAAGCCGCCCTCGCCCAGCTTGGAGTCCGGCGCGAAGTTGTTGGTGGCGCGGCGAATGTCCTCTATGCGGTACGCCACACACTGGTCCAGGTCCAACGACCCTGGGGGATGGGGGAATGCGGCGAGGAAAGAAGGGCGTGGGGGAGGGAGTCGGGGGAAGGGGGGTTGGGAATGGGAGGTGGAGAGGGAGAGGTGTGTAAGGAGAGGTGCGTGCGGCAAGGCACACACAGGTGCAGACAATGTGTAAATGTGACGCTGGTGGAAGGGCGTGGGTGGCAGGACAGAAGTAGGGGGGGACGGGGGGCAGGGAGTGTAAAGACGGTGAGAGGATGAAGGGCTTGACCCGTGAGGATGGCAATAGTGAGGTCTGATGCGGTGCGATGTGGTTTAATGCTGGCCTACGTGCAATGCCAGTGAGGCGGAAGAAAAGCTAGAGTGGATGGGTGAAAATGCGATGGGTGGTGCAAAGTGGTGCAAGGTGGTGCTTCTGACTGACTTCTCTGAGAGGGGCGGAGGAAGAAGAAGAGAAGGCCAGCGACAGCTGCGAGCAGCAGCACAGCGCCCACCACTATGCCTACCACCGCCCCTGCTGACAGCCCTGATGAGGACGCTGCGGAGGGGGCGAGTGGGGGAGAATGGAGAAGGATGGATGGAGGGGGTTGATACGACTAAGAGAGAGGGAGAGGGGGTTGTGCGGTGCATATAGAAGCAGGCAAGCGGAGGCGATTATCTGCTGGGAAGTTGGGATAGCAGCCCAAGCCAGTGACTGAACATACCGGGAGGGGAAGGGGGCGGCAGTTGGCAAGTGGTGGTGTTGGCAGTGCCGGCAGCAGTGACAGCAACGTAGCCACTGGCACAGGAGCAGGAGAGGGACGGCGGCCAACCGCTCTGCACCACACACTGCCCCGCACCCGCTCCCCCACACGCGCCCTGCCCTGACTCTATCCCACACACCGCGGCACACTCTGTTGCCCCCCGCTGCTGCCCCACAACCTCACTCCCCACACAGTTGCCCTCCACTGCCAGCCACGCCACTGAGCTGCTGCTATTCCCGCCGCTCGCCCCTCCTGCTGCAGCTGCCCCCAGCTGCCCCCCCTGCGTCCCCCACACCCACTGAGGGTTCGTTGCTTCCTGGACTGCCCAGGGGGGGAGGGACTGGGGCTGGGGGGTCGCTGGGAGGACGAGAGAGGGGGTGGGGGGCGAGGAGGAGGAGGAGGAGGAGAGGGTGATGTTGGGGGAGGGGGAGAGGGAGCCGTAGAGGTAGTTGCCGCTGAGATCCAGGCTGATGGGCGGCATGTTTTGGAAGGTTGCAGCATCCATGAAGAGCAGATTATTGCTGACGTCACTGGTAGAGAGGGGAAGAGTAAGGGGAGGCAGGGGAACAGGGGCAGAATCGAGAGATTGGGAGCAGATGTTGGTAAAGAAGGTAGTAAGCGGTTTTACCAGAACAGCAGGAGGAGGAGGAGCAGAGATGAGGGCGAATTAGAGCGAGGCAAGGGTGGCGGGGAAAGGTGAAGGGTGAAGGTTGAAGGGTGAAGGGTGAAGGGTGAAGGTTGAAGGTTAAAGGATGAAGGTTGACCAGGGGAACGGACATGAGTTGGACCGAGGAGACGAAGGGCAGGCACTGAGGGAGGGCCCCTGAGAAGGCGTTGCTGCTTAGGAGCCTGCAGTGGGAAGGGTGGGCAGGTGGGGAGGTGGAAAGGGGGGTATGGGAGGTGGGGCCAAGGAGTGAATTGGAGAACGTGAGAGAAAGAAACGAGGGTGAGGGGAGCGAGGAGGTGAGGAAACAAGCAATATGGATGGTGTGGGTAGATGAAGTCATGACAGCACCCAAAAGGATGAGAGCAGAGAGAAGACGGCTGGAACAGAGTGACTGCTAAACTATCTGAGCGTCTTGCATAGTGTGAATGGGGGTGAAGGTTACATGATCTGCAGCACAGATTGGCAGAGGTACTCGGGAATGGGGCCAGAGAGCTGGTTGTGATGCGCCGCACTGCAGAGAGAAGCATGGGGAGAATGGGGGTTGGGCGTGGGGGTTGGGCGGGCAGGAAGCAAGAGGGCGCATGGGGGATGGGGCCTGAGAGCTAGTTGTGGTGCAGCGCCCTGCAGGCATGGGTGGGTGGGAAGCAGGATGGAGCATGGGAGGTCGGCGGGCGGGAAGCAAGGGGTGCAACTGGGGTTAGCTGAGCCAGAACCGGGGGGAGGCATGCGCGGGGCAGGGGAGAGAAAGAACGCGGAGCGAGCCAAGCTAAACGAGGAAGCGAGAGGAGTGCGGCTCAATGTCACACAAGCAGAGAAGCTGGGAACACGACAGTGAGAGAAATGGCATGTGGTGGCACTAACAGCAATGCCAGTCGCTTGAGGTTGACATGCTGGCTCTCCAGTGTCCCCGAGAGTGTGTTGAATGAAAGGTCGCTGTGGAGCGGAGAGGGGGAGAGACAGGGTTGGGCGGAAATGGGAGGGAGAACAGGTGGGTGGGCGGGAGTGGGAGGACGGAGAAAGCGAGGAGGGTTGAGAGAACCAGCACGGGGAAAGGGAGGGTGCAGGAGGGGAAGGGGGGAAGAGGGGATGGAGATATTGACTAACAAGATTCAAATGGTAAGTTGGCAGGGCTTTAGTGGTTACCAGGGCTCTCATGGTTACCAGGGCCCTCGTGGTTACCAGGGCCCTCGTGGTTACCACGGCCCTCGTGTTACCAGGGCTCTCGCAGTTACCAGGGCTCTCGTAGTTACCAGGGCTCTCGTGGTTACCAGGGCTCTCGTGGTTACCAGGGCTCTCGTGGTTACCAGGGCTCTCGTGGTTACCAGGGCCCTTGTTGCTACCAGGGCCCTTGTTGCTACCAGGGCCTACGCACATGATGAGAGCTGGACTGGCAGCAGCGTTGGGCAGAGGGCCTGAGAGGCGGTTGCGAGACATGTTGCTGGCATGGTGGGCGGTAGCAGGGGACAGACAGAGGGAGAAAGGGCAGAGGGGCGGAGGTGAGATGATGTGAGGACGGATGGTGATGGGGCAGGAATCCAAGATGAATGGCTGGTTGCTAAATGCAGGAAGTTAATGGTGGGGGGTATAAATAGGGAAGTTGACTGACAGGTGGGAGAGCCGTCGAAGGTTAAAAATGGCGGGAGGCACCGAGCCGGAGAGTAGGTTGATAGCCATGTCCCTGCCATGGCACAGTGTGGCGTGGGGTGACGTGGGGAAAGGTAGGGGGGAGATATGTTATGGCCACAGCGGGTCATGGAGCCATGGGTGGGTGGTTGATGGCCATGTCGCTGCCATTGCATGGTGTGGCAAGAGGTGGCAAGGCATGGCATGGTGTGGGCAAGGGGTGAATAGCATGCCAAGACAGTTTAGGGCCGCTGCTGGTCATGGGGCGAGGGTGGTTGATGGACACGTTGTTGGCATGCGAGAAGGCAGGGGGGTGGATGGATGGATGACCATGCATTCCTTGGATGGACGACCATGCATTCCTTGGATGGACGACCATGCATTCCTTGGATGGACGACCATGCATTTCTGCCATGAGTCATGGAATGGGTGCTCCATACTGGCATGGGATGGGATGACATGGCATAGGGTGGCATGGGATGACATGGCATGCTCCACATGAAGAGATGATTAGAATAGAAACTCACATAGAGGTGCCATACAGGTGGGTCGGTCATGCCATACAGGTGGATCATGCCATACAGGTGGGTCATGCCGATACATACAGGTGGGTCATGTTGGGCATGAGACCGAAGAAGGGCGGAACAGAGCCGTTCAATGTGTTGGATGAGATGTCACTGCGGGGCATGGAGGGATGGAGGGATGGGGGAGAATGGCAGGGCATGGGGGGATGGAGGGAGAATGGCAGGGCATGGGGGGTAAATGACAGGAATTCAGGGGAGATAAAGCGATGGGAGTTGAGGGGAGAAGAGATTTGGGGAGGGGGCAGGAACGGTGATACAGCATGGGGAAATCAATGGTGTGGTAAGCTATTACAGTGTGCCCCCTGCCCCGTGCGCCATGCCCCATGCCCCACGCCCCACGTCCCATGCCCAATGGCCCACGCTCCATGCACCATGCCCCATGCACCATGCACCATGCCCCATGCACCATGCCCCATGCCCCACACCCCTGCCCACACGAGGGCCTCACACAATCTCGAGGGAGCGCAGAGGAGAGAGGGCCGGTGTGATGTCTCCTGACAGCTGATTGGACGACACGTTGCTGGGAGGGGGCATGCATGGGGTATGGGGCATGGGGTAAGGGTATGGGGTACGGGAGATGAGGTATGTGCTTGGTTTATGTGTTATGGAATATGGGTAGGGTAGGGTATGGGATGAAGGGTATGGTGTATGGGCATGGATAGATGGAGCCCGCACGGGGCATGGTATACACAATACAAGTGGGCATGCTGCAGGGAAGAAACGAGTGGAAGGACATGACATGACATGGAGCGAGACATGGCATGACGAGAAGGAGCAGTGGCGAGCAAGGGAGGGGAGGGGCGCACAGGTAGGTGAGGGAGGCAAGGCGGGAGAGGGCCCGGGGAATGGAGCCCTGCAGGAGGTTGTGTGCCAGGTTGCTGCTCAAAGGGGAGACGGGGGGGGCGGGGGTTGGGGGGGGTGGGCAGGGGTGGGTAGGGGTGGGTAGGAGCAGGAGTTGTCGATATTAAGAGGTGACAGAGAAGTACGTTGCTTTCTGATGTGCAAAGTCATATGAGAAAATACCACCACACATGCTCAACATGCCATCTCACATGCGGACGTGGCATCTCACCAGCTGACATGACAGTGACACCTCACATGCTGACACGTCATCTCACATGCTGACATGTCATCTCACATGCTGACATGTCATCTCACATGCTGACATGTCATCTCACATGCTGACGAGGTTGGTGGGGTTGCTGAGAGCTGGCGGCACGGCCCCATTGAGTTGGTTCGAAGAGAGGTCGCTGCAGGCGGGGAGGGCGGCCACAGGGGCAGGGGAGTGGGGTGGAATGAGGGGGTGGGAAGTGGAATGAGGGCAGGGAGAGGCGTGGAGGTAAGGAGTGGGGTGGCGGGCACGGTAATGGAGCGGTGAAGGCAGGGAGTGCGGTGAGGGCAGGGGGTGGGGGGAGGGCAGGGAGAGGGTGAGGACAGGGAGAGGGTGAGGACAGGGAGAGGGTTGCGCGCGGGGAGAGATGCACTTGGGGGAAGGGGGAGGAGTGGCACGGAGTGTGAAAGTGAATATCACCACTCCACCCCTTGCTCTGCCACCCACCCATTGCAACCACGCATGAATAGTGGACAACAGAGTGAGAGCATACAGCAGGGTGAGTGAGAGCATACAGCAGAGTGAGGGCACACAGCACAGTGAGCACATACAGCATAGTGAGGTTGGTGAGGAGAGAGATGAAGGCTGGAATGGACCCCGTGAGAAGGTTGCCCGACAAGTCACTGGGGGGGGGACGAGGGGCACAGGGACACGGTGGGGGGGAGACGAGGAGGGTATGGGCGGTGATAGGAGATGGAGAGAAGAGGTAGACGAGTGCAAACGGTGGGGGTGCGACAAGGTGCAGGCGGACTCGGTGCAGGTGGGACAAGGTGCAGGCGGACTCGGTGCAGGTGGGACAAGGTGCAGGCGGACTCGGTGCAGGTGGGACAAGGTGCAGGCGGACTCGGTGCAGGTGGGACAAGGTGTAGGCGGACTCGGTGCAGGTGGGACAAGGTGCAGGCGGACTCGGTGCAGGTGGGACAAGGTGCAGGCAGACTCGGTGCAGGTGGGACAAGGTGCAGGCGGACTCGGATGAGCGATGCTTTCAGGATTCTAAGAAAACGCAGAGAGTGGCGGGAAAGGCAGGGCAACACACAGGTCGTGGAGGTAGGTGAGGGTGGAGAGGGAGGGGTCGAGTGCTCCTGAGAATCTGTTGTGCGAGTAGTTGCTGGAGGATAGGGGAGCCGTGCCGAGCGGATGAAGGGGGGAGAGGGAATGGTTGGATGGAGAGTGATGGATGGATGGATGGATGGGCAGGCATGGGTTTGTGCGAGAGATAATGGTTACATTGCACTGGTGTGAGGGGATGAGGGTGTCGAGATGATGGGAAGGAATGGTGCTTGGTGCGATGGTGGAACGAATAATTCTGCAGAATGGTTGTCACAGTTTGTCACAGTCAATGGCTGATGCCCGTGCGTTGCTGTGGGTGACTGCTCATGCATTCACCATTGGTATGCTGCTTATGCACTCACCACCACCATGCTGCATAAACATCTCACGCACATCGTAAAAGTTTTAGGACTCTCCGCTTGCCCCGAAAAGAACGCTCTGCCCGATAAATTGTTGTAAGATATGTCACTGGGAATGGGTACCATGGCAGAGGAGGGGCAACGTTTCAGCACTTAGAAATAGCAGAAGAAAGGGTTTGGGAGAGGGGAAAGGGAGGAGAGCGAGGGGTGGGTGGGGGGGAAAGGGTGGATTCAAGGTTAAGGGGTGAGTAAGGCTTGGGTTAGAATAGTTGTGGACGTTGAAGGTGGTGGGTGCTTGCCTAAGGCTCATCTCTCTGAGCAGCTCGCCTAGTTTTGGTGTTCTTCACATCATGGACCCGGCTTTGCTGTGTTCTCCTTATTCCGTTTGAATGACTAAAGACTGTTTCAAGGAGAGGAGGGAAGGGCGACCTGTTGCATGTGGTTCTTTAGCGTTCTCAGGAAACATGTGCAATGCAACGGGGGGGAGCGGTGGCACACATCGTGAAGGAGGGGGAGGGGCGACGCACAGGGTGAAGAGGGAGGGGGGGGGGGGGGGAGGGGAGAGGGAGGGGCGGCGCACAGGGTGAAGAAGAAGTTGACGTTGAAGTCGAAGGGGATTTCCCCCGAGAGGCGGTTAAATGACGAGTTGCTGCCAGACATGCCGGGGCGCACATGGGTGTACAGGGGCGCACAGGGGCGCACAGGGGCGCACAGGGGCGCACAGGGGCGCACAGGGGCGCACATGGGCGCACAGGGGCGCACAGGGGCGCACAGGGGCGCACATGGGCATACATGGGTGCACAGTGGCGCATAGGGGTACGCAGGGACGCACAGGGGCACACAGGGACGGGAGGAAAGATACGAGGAAAGTGATTTGGATGGGGGGAAAGAAACTTGGAAGGGAGGAGTGAGATTGGGATGGGATGACAGGCGCTTGGACGGGAGGAGAGCTCGGAAGCCAAGGGCTTGATTTTAGAAAGGCTCACAAATTTGGGCCGCCAGGAGGTTCGGAGAACCTGAGGCCGGAAGGCAGCGGCCCTGTGAGGTCGTTCACTGACACGTCACTGGTAGGCCGAGATGGAGGGGACGGGTGGGTGTGGGCGGAGGGAGGATTTTTCAGTCGACTCAAAAAGGGATGGCAGCGGCCTTGTGAGATCGTTGACTGACACGTCACTGGCAGGCCGTGGTGGGGGGAGGGGTGGGTGTGGGAGGAGGGAGGAGATGAGGGGTGGATAAGGTAGGGGAAAAGAGAGAAGATGGTGTATTGAGAGGGGTGCCATCAGGGGGATGTGATGGGATGGAGAAAGGGAAGATGCCAAGATAGGATGGGTGCGCTTGCTGGAGAGAGGAAGGCAGTATGGCCCCGCTGGAACCTTTTAAGGCGCCTCAAAAGCACATGGTGCATGGCGCATGGAGCATGGGGCATGACACATGGCTTATGGGGCATGGCGCATGGCTCATGGGGCATGGCATGGCACATGGCTCACGGCACATGGCACATGGCACATGGCACATGGCACATGGAACATGGTAGCAGGAAACGGCATAAAAGCAGTGAAGACATTGGTGGAGAAGGTGGGCGGTATGGTCCCGTTGAAGCCTTGTGAGGCGCTTCAAAAGCACATGGGGCATGCATGGCATATGGTGGATCACACGGTAGCAGCAAGGGGCGTACAAGTCAGTGAAGACGTTGGTGGAGAAGGTGGGCGGTATGGTCCCGTTGAAGCGGTTGCAGCACAGGAAGCTGCGAGTAGCAATGGGGAGACGCACAGATGGGAGAGCGAGAGAGAAGAGACACAGGGTGTTGGAACCCCAATGTGGAGGTTTTGTGCTGATCCCACATAGGTGTTATGAATAAACACTCGTTTTTTTTTCTCTGTGTGAGGCCAACAGTTGACAAACTGATGGTTTGAGACTGGCGTGCTGACTGGCGTGCTGACTGGCGTGCTGA